GGGTTTTTAATAAAATGGAGTACTACTCAGCCATAAAGAATGAGAAATTAGAGACATTTATAGCTACATGGATGCACATTGAGGCGATACTCTTAAGTGAAATAAATAGGAGACACATATGTAAATACCGAATAGTTTCCCTGGTATGAGAAACTGAAAGTGTAAATAAGGATTAAAGTGAATGGTTGATAATGTGAAATAGGAAGAAAAGGTGCATAGTGGAAGGGGAAGTGGGAGGTATAAGGGAAAGAAATGAAGGGAAAGGAAAAAAATATAAGAAAAAAAAAAATGGAAACAGTCTTTGTAAATAAGGAGGGGTTGAAGGGGGAGGACAGGGGAATGGGGACAAAATAAGAACCAAAATACATCATGTAAAGGTACAAGTTCCCAATGATGAATGTAAATGTCTACCTAAAATGTACCAATAAAAGAATTTAAGAGGAAAAAAAAAATACAACACAAAATAACACAATTTAGTACAGGAAAAAAATATATGTATCTCTTATGATCATAAAACCCCTAGAGTCTATCCCCGATTTTAGTCTGCGTTCACTGAAATAAACTTTTCTTTTCCTTGAAAGTTGATAGTGTAGAATTATACTGATATTTTAATTATGGTTGTCTTAGACGAGGGTTTGGCAGACTAAGGCTCCTGGGCAAAATTTGGCCCATGTCCTAGTTTTGTGTGGTCCATGAGCTAAGAGTGGCTTTTACATTTTTGTAAAAAGAAAAGAAAAATGGCATGTGCAACTGCAACTGTGGCCTTCAAAGCCTAAAATGCTTATCTGACTGCTTACAGAAAAAGTTTGCTGTTGCTTGCCCTAGATTACTTAATTTAAAATCCAGATAGGTAATAGTAATTAGAACAATAACAGCGTTAAACTTCAGCTTCAGAAGCTTAGATACCTTTGGCTGGCCATTGAAAGTGAGCAAGTGAGGTTGAGCTGTGTTAATAACAAGGGAAAAGATGCTCCCTCTCCTCTGTGCTTAGAGTTAGATCAGGGGAAAATGAAGAGATTTAAAAGAAATAAAGGTTATGGTTTTTTGCCCCTTTTATTTTCTCAGATCTGTTGGGAAAGACAAAAAAGCCATTCAGGCATCAATTAGACGCAATAAGGAGACCAACACAGTTTTGGCCAGATTGAATAGTGAATTGCAGCAGCAATTAAAGGTAATGCTTTCGAATCTTTGGAGAGTTCATGGGCATGGAATTTCTTGGAGGTGCGGGGAAAGTTTGAGTCATCCAGCAGTTCTTACACTTAGGTAAAAACTTTTCTCACAGCAGGAGAAATGTGTTTCATTGGATGAGCCATTGGTTGTTTTTTTTTTAGTTCTAAAAGGAATTTTTAAAACTCAATTCTGATATACACTCTCTTATCTTAACTATATAAAAAGGCATCATTATTTCTACAGTGTTTCTTAACTTTCATAAAGAAACTTAAAGAAATGTTGGGCCAGGGATTTAGCTCAGTGGCACTGCTCCTGCCTTGCAAGCACAAGGTCCTGAATTCAATCCCCGGTACCAAAAAAAAAGAAATGTTGTGACCTCGGTAGCAACAAGATTAAATGCATGACTCTTTACACTCTGTGAAATTCATAGATGATTTGACTGTTGTGGGTTGATCCTTTTCTCAAAGACAATCCAGATTCTATTAAAGGAATTTAAATAAGTCTAAAGAAGATAAGGGGTGTGGACAATTTAGATCATCTTACATGAGGAAAAAGAAAAGATAAGCCTTACATAACAATGGTATTTCCATACAGTGTATTCCACCATCTGATAATTGAAAGGAATGATTTTCTCACTGTTAACCATGATTTATTTAAATCCTTATGAATAAAAATTATACCCAGAATCACTTTTGGTTCATTTATGTTATTTGTACCCATATCTTAGAAACCATTGGTTCTCAAACTTTAGGTAATCTGGGGTCATATAAAATGCAGGTTCTGCTTTAGTAGGTCTGGGGTGAGACCTGAGAACTCTACATTTCTCATAAGCTTTCAGATGGTAAAGATGGTGCTATACTACTGTTGGCTTCACTACAGGGTTGTAAATCACAAAGATGAGAAAAGCATCCGTAAAAATGGAAAATGAATACATTTATTCCCATAACATCATATTCCTATCCCTCATCTGTGATTTATCACACTGTTCTAGAATTATTGTCTATTATACATGTGTCAGTGTTCTACTAAACTGAACTCTTTGAGGGTAAATTGCAATCATTTCTGTTTAGGATAGCCATATAATATATTGCCTAAACCAAGATTCTTAGTGAAAAGAAGGAAGGTTATATTAATATTTAGGCAAAAAAAGTGTAAACTAGGACTGTCCTAGATAAATTATGACCATCCTGTCTCTTTCTACAAAACCAAGCATATATTAGGCACTTGATAAATGTCTCTTGAGTGAAAGATACTCTTTTACAACTCTTTGACTACAATAGAAAACATTTGTAGTTGTCAGGTGATTATGAATTTGACCCTATAAAGCAAGACTATGAAATGTAAGGACAAGCTTGCCTAGTACTATACCTTTAAGATGACAATTTTGTTTGTTAACGGTTGAGGTTTTTTTTTTAAGAACTAGGGAATACCATAGAAGTATATAAAAACTATTTTGAAAATCACTTTTCTTATTGCCTCTAAGAACAGAAAATAGAAATAAAAATAAGAATAAAAGTACCAAATAGGAAGAGGTCACTCAGGTTAAAACAAGATCCTATCAGTATGAAAAAAGAAAAGTAAGGTGTGGCTATTTGAAAAGACTCCTCATAATCAGCAGTGATTAAAAAATTCTGATTACAGCCCGGTGTTGTGCACACCTGTATTTCCAGTTAGTTGCAAGATTGAGACAGGAGGACCCCAAGTTCAAGGCTAGCCTGGCCAATTTGAGGAAGTCCCTTTCTGAAATAAAATAAAAAGGGCTAGAGGTATAGCTCAGTAATAGACTGCTTGCCTAGCACGCACAAATCTCTGGGCTTAGTCCTCAATACCACGCACGCACATGCACACACATACACAGTTCTGACTGCAAAGTAGAAATGAAACTCAAAATGAGATTCAGGAGTTGCTATAACCGCGTATCATCATTTGGGGAAAAATTTTACATTAACTGATTTATCTATAGTTAATTTGGGGGCAAAATACACAAAATTCATGTATTAGTGCCCATTTGTTGCAAATACTGGCTTTTCTAATAGCCTAAAAATATTTTGTTACCTAATTTATGTAATATGAAAAAGATTTAAGTTACTGTGGTCATGTTTTCATATTATGAATGTATAAGGAAACTTCCTTCAAAGTAATGTATACTTTTAAAATAGGAATAGTGCAGGTCCATTAGTCTTCTTGACAAATATAAATTGCTTTCTTGAAGTAGAGCTGTTATTAGATGTACCTTCAATTTAATATACTTAGAAACATAACTTGGACTGTGCGTCTTTTTCAGGATGTTCTTGAAGAGAGAATTTCCCTGGAAGTTCAACTGGAACAACTTCGACCATTCTCTCACCTATAAGCCAATTGCCGTTAACTGTGAACATACTCATTTTTAAGCAGTTTGGGGTTTGAAGCCAATTTGGAGACCCAGACATTCAGCTTACTGCTTAATTCAACATTAAATTTTATGATTCTGTTTTGCCCTTTATGTTCACCGTTGTATTTAAGTATCTTTTATTTTTTAATTTCAACAATAAAAGGGTCAGGATGACTTTTTCTGGAGGGTATATTGTGTTTGTTGGTGTCCTTGCCGTTCCATAGTATTGGGAATATATAATATGGTTCATTGTATTTATGTGGCCAAAACTATACTACAGTTTGATTTAGAGTGAACTTCTCACTTATATATCAAACACAGACTCAAATCTTTGAACGGAAAATTTAATAATCTGTCCGTTTGTCCTCTTTAGGTGTAATATTCTATACAAAATCTCTGTTCTGTAAAAAGCTTTAAAATTTGCTATTTTACTTTGTATTTTAGAGAACTATAGGATAAGACAGTTTTCACCAGAAGCTGATTTACTTCTCTTTTTTGGGGGGTACTGGGAATCGAACTCAGGACCTTGTGCTTTCGAGGCAGGCAGTGGAACCACTGAGCTAAATCCCCAGCCCTCAGAAGCTGATTTACTAGAAGAGTCTTCCTCTACAGTAATCCACATCCTTCAGGAGTCACATGGTACTTCAAGCTTCTTTTACATATCATACTAGGGGATCAGCTTTATATTTTTCTTGTCAGAATTTGATCGGTTTCATCAGTGACTTAGAGAGAGACAGAGACAATACAGGCAGAGAAGGAGGGAGGCTGACTTTAATTCAGCAGCAGTCAGACGGCTATGAAGCCAAGCCTTTCCTAAGTGTTCCTTCAAGGTAAAGGGAGAGTGTGAAACCACTACTGTGTACTGTCCACTGAAAACATTGCAGATTTGTGTGATTGATGCATTTAACTCTCCTAGAAGTTTTACAGGTATTATTTTCAGGTTTTGTGTTTTTAAATTCCTGAGGACATTAGTTATTCCCAGAAGAAATGGAAGTTCCCTAAGATTTCTAGTTGACCTTGAGCTATCTTGTTACTCATTCTTTTGCTGTGTAAGCAGGTTTTTCCTATTAACAGATTTTAGAGTGTGCCCCATTCGGGATAAAATACTGTATTAGAATTTGTTTTATATGTGATACATTTTTATCACATTTGTAAAATTTGCATTCATTGCTGAGTAACAGCAGATAATCCCTTTAAAGTTTATTCTATAGGATCAGAAATGTTAAACTGCATGGATATATCTGAATGGAACCAGGAGTGTGATTTTACACTAATAAAATAGTACGATATTTTTAACTTTTGCATATTTATAACAAGATTTTAAAGAATCAGAAGGAATTTGTAGTTTCATTGGTGAAAGATGATATTGAAGTAGCCCGTGTTCACAATCCTAGGTTGTACCCAGTATATTTTAATACCCTAAGAGATTACCAAGCAGAAATGAAACACAACCGAAAGCTTCCAAGACTAGTATGTGTATCTTTTAGATAGCATTAAGTAGGTAAAAATATTACTACTGCATATATCAGCTTATTTCCAAGTGGCTAACAGGTTATGGTTTCAGTTTGTTAAAGGCTCTAACACATTCTTGACATGGCTGTAATTCGTATGTCTTGCTGCTTGGGTAGCTCACATGAGATGGTCATGCATGTACCACTGGTGGTTCAAGCTGGCAGGAACGTGTTGGCTCAGGAAGGTTTATTTTTGTATTTTAAAAATTGCTTTATCCAGGGCTAGGGATGTAGCTTAGTGGTAAAGCTCTTATCTTGCATGTACAAGGCCCCACGTTCGAACCTCAGCACCAAAAAAAAAAAAAAAATTGCTTTTCTTCACTGGCTAACTTAACAATATTAACAATATTTCAAAGTTTCTTTTTTGTAAGGTCTAACAGTTCAGTTTGGCACCAAAAAACTTTTACAAAAACTTTTTACAAAAAGCATTTTAGTTCTTTGTAATAGTATAATTTTAATGCTCTCTTAGAGAGGTACATTCATATTAAGAATATTTGACAAGTGTATAAGAAAGTTACTCAAAAAAAAAAAAACTTGGGGCCAGGGATTTAGCTCAGTGGTTCCGCGTCCTGCCTTGCAAGAGTGAGGCCCCGAGTTCAGTCCCCGGTACCAAAAAAAAAAAAAGTTACCATTTATGATTATCTATGTATTTTTAAATCAATAATTGTTTCATGTAAATTTTAAAGATGATTGATAAATCAATTATGATTTTTTTTAGAATGGTCATTTAATACCATTTTTTGTTCTGGCTTTATTTTTCATGAGATCATTTTTTTTAAATGTCACACAATATGCTCGCTGTCCTAGAATTCATCACATCAAATTATTTTAAATAATATCCATGAAAAATTACCAAAAAAAGAGGTTCAAAATTTTAGGCTCATGGTTCTTACACATTCTCCATAACTTTATCAAGATGATAAAGTTTAAACATTATGGGCCATCCTAGTTCATTCTGTCCTCATCCATGACATAATCATTGTGCTTCTCACTGGATGTTCTAGCGCAGAAAATGTGTTCTCTGCTTTGGTCAGGGAGCAGTGGCACTGCTGATCTTTTCCTCCAGTCCAGTCTCACTTCTCCACGCTGCTTCTGATTGCTTTTTGGAGTATTGACATCCATAAGAATTTATCATCTTCCACTTCAGTAGCACAAAGCCATTCATGTTTTGGACCTTGAAGAATAAATGCATTCTTGACATCTGTAAAAGCATTTTCGGTACACTAATTATCGTTGCAAGTAACAATCAAAAAGAGAAGGTGTTTTAAAATGAAGCAGGAAGATAGCAAGTTTGAGCCCAAGCTGGACAACTTAGTGACAGGTGAGATCCCGTTTCACAATTTAAACATTTTTAAAAATTAGAATTGACCAATTCATCTTTAAGAATTTCTTGAAACCTAAAAACAAGGATTCAGAATAAGTACAAATCCAGTTTAGAATATAACTTTCTAAAATAATAAAATAAAATCTTGTCCTTATATGATTAGTAATTATTTTAAAGGCCAAATGATGGACAATGTGATGTTCCTTAATTCCTTGTCTCATTCCAGAAGGAACTAGAATCAATAGAGATCTTTACTAATAATTACAGTGATTCCTCTGTTTTCCAATGGCTCCAAACTTGAACTTTCCACTACTCAGCCAAGTTTGAAGAAGATCTGCTTGATGTTCCTAACTTTGCTCCATAGTTGAACTGAAAACCCAACTTGAAAAAACCTGTACAGGCTGAGAGTGAGTCATGTGTCATGTCTCACCGCACACACAAAGGGGTGATGCTTCAGTCTAAGTGTTGCTCTCACCCAGACAATATATAGTGCTTGTGTCAGTGCGTTAAATAAAGCATTTGTTCTGGGGGGGTGCCCTTTATTTGTTTAAAATATAACCATGGCTCCAAAGAAAGTTAATGATACTAGCAGTAAAGCTAAGAGGAAAACTGAGAACCATGATAGAGGATAATCATTGTGAAATTTGTTAAGTCCTAGAAAAATGAATTTATAAGTTTAATTTTTGGACCTCAGAACCAATTATGTGGTTTTCTATTATTATGGGAAAAATAGTTCTCAAACTTCAGTGTTCGAACATGAATTTGGAACAAATTGATTTCACCAACTAAGGTATCACTGTATTATAGTTAGAGATGCCAAGAGCTAGACCTAGACAACCATAGTACAAGGGCCAGTGACACAGCCAACTACTAGACTCAGCTGAATGCCACCCACTCGCCATCAGGTGATAGAACAGTGTCACAGAGCATAGTGATTCCTAGGGTGGGAGGGAGGTGTTTCAGACAGTAACCATACTCAGTAATTATGTGTAACTCTTTACCTCAGATTACCTTCTTGCCGATGATATGTAATCTCAGGAAATACTTTTTCCCACACTTGTTCATTTTTTTCTCAGGCTCAGATTTAGACAGGCCTGAAGGTATTGGGAAGTCCTATTTTTACATGCAGTGAAAAATACTGGAATGAGAGATGTTACCTTCTGATTGTCTGCCTTAACAAATATAAGAAATAGATATGGATCCCTTTAAGCTTGGGAAGTATAGTGTAAAATGATGACTAAAGACATAATAGGTTTAAGTAAGATTTGTTTTGGGGATAAGTGTTTTTCTGTTGGAAATATGAATGAAATGTTTTAGTAAGAATCCTTTGCATATCTGTTGATTTTCTAAAACTGTCATTTAAATGTGAGTTTAAGGAAGAAAATATAGTCAAATCTGTAATTACCACTTAGTCCTAGAATGGAAAATTAATAGATAATAAATTAATGGGAAATTAATGGATATTAGATTAATAGATAAAAGTGTAAAATTAAAATAATGTTTTAAACCTGTGATCTTCAGACAGTGGAGAGTGGTTAAGCCCTCAGACTGCCTCAAAAACTACTTGTGATGGAGTAAGGTCTTGCCCCTCTTTGTGAGTTTAAAATCTCTTCCTAATGTCTAGGGTTGTTGGATAATGCCATCATTCCTTTTGCTATCTCAGAGGTAGCTGACAGTTTAATGAAATCCTGTTTGAAGAATTAATTATACACTGGCAAATTATAATACCAGTCCATTTGCTACTTTTCTGTTCTAATAATGAGCTTTATATAGAATGGCTTCATAAAGATACTCATCTCTTGAAGGAAAGCAATACATACACTTGGAATCTGGGATGTCCTCTATTAGTAACCTGTGAAGGGCCACTGATGCAGTGAACTGGTAGGTTGTTTTTGAAATCCTTTCAAATGGAATATGAGATGTTCCCCGACTAGAAACAAGCAGTGCATCATTGAAGAGGAAGAGAGTGAGATCCCGGATTTGTTCATAGACCCTGTGTTAAAAGGGAGGAGAGCAGCATTTATACATGCATACATGCTTTGTTAAACTAATCATTTTTAAATTGATAAGCCAGTGATTGAAACTTTCACACATTCCACTACAGACTGTTTGAGTGGCTCACTTGAGTTCTCAGTATTTTCCTCCTGGTATGATTAATCCCTATTGGACAAATACCTCATTATCAATGTGGACAAAAGAGACATTGATCTTTCTTTCCTTTATGAAATAGATCATGGCTGTGTAAACTTTTATCAAGGAAAAAATACTGTGCTAGATGTGTTTGGGTAGTCTGAGGAAAGTTGTTTGCTTCTAGGAATGACAGAATGGGGTAGAGAAAAGTCCAATGTTTTTTTCTGTTGAATTTTCATAGGCCTTCTATGCCTCTTTACAAGTAATGACAGCTAAATGGAACACAGCTATGTAAATTCTTTAATCTAGAAGTGCTTTGTTCTTGCTTTCTACATTAGCCAGCTCAAGAGACATTAAGGCATGAAATGAAGTACCTAACTTCATACATAAAACTAAAAGAAGTTCTCAGGACACAGGCTTGGGGAACAGGCTTAGACCACAGCAGGCCATCAGCTCTGTGGTGAGAGCTGTGCATTATTTAGTAATTTTTTCTGTCTTGGCAAGTTTCTTTAAGGAAGGCTCCGTTCACCTTTCCAACTGCCAGTCTCATCAGTGGAAACACCACTCCACTCACTGAGACCTGGCTCCAAATTCCAGACCAGCACATACTAGTCCATGGCTCTCGGGCAACTTCCCTCAGTCACATTCCCACCCACGAATGTGCCCTGTCCTATCTGCCTGACCATGTGATTGTAATGAATTTATCAAATGAAAACAGTTACTAGTAAATTACAAAGCTGTGTAGTCCTGGCAGTACTACATGAAGAAATGAGTACATTTGGTTATATAAAAATTCCTGATGGAAAGTAACTTTCTAAAATGCTAGAAAACAAGATTGCAGGCTAAATATCATGATATCTTTTGGAATGCAAGCCTGTTTGCATTTACTCAATTTCACATATTAAAATGACATCTGTATTGCAAATAATATAAATGTTAATTACTGAGAAAGTGCCTAGTTACATGTAAATGTACTTCACAATGCAAAATAATTTATCTCCAGACATACACTCATCTGTTGTCCTAATACTGAAGACAAGTCTAAATTCTAATAACAGACAGCTACCAGTTGATATGTGAAGAGTTTGGAAGTTACCACTTCTCATAACAAGAGTGGCTGATGGGAAAAGGGGCAATGGCTGATGGGAAGGATGGGCTATGGCTGCGATATGGGACCTCAAGTGCACTCCAAGATGTTGAATTTAGAATTGCTCAGTTGGCTTTCTGACCAGGGAGAGAGGGAGGGATTAATAGTTCTTATTGTGGGGAGGATAAAATATATCCAGGGAAGCAAAGATGGGGGGATCCCTTTTTTTCCCCCTTTCTCCTTTCCTCTTGCCCTCCTTCCTCCCCTTTCTTTATGTTATTCTTGGTACAGGTTGTTGTAGAAGCATTAAGGATCAATATTCTCAAGACAAGTAGAGGCACCTCCATTAGCTTCACTGCAACAGCAAATAGTAAGAATGTAATTGCATTGTCTTCTGACGCTGGCCTGAGATTTCTTCCCCCAGAGCTTGCTTCTCCAGCTTGGACAATCTTGATCTAAAATTGAGATAACATTTTCTCCATCACTGCCTCCACACGTATGGAGAACTCACAGTGGAAATTACCCTCAGAGGTGAAAACTTGAAAACGTCCTCCTGAGGTCAGGAACAAGATGGACATTTCGAAGCATGCTGGGAGTCCTCACCAGGGCAATTAGATCAAAAAAAAAAAAAGTGAAAAGCAATAAAACTATTTCTATCCTCATAACAAAAAAAGCTGAATGAAGAATCAGTTTATCAGAATAGATAAACTGATCCTTCTGGAGCCAGAATCAAGTGGGAAGACATATAGGGTAACTGACTAGCTGGAGGTTGGTTGTGGACTGACATGCATGATTAAAACCTTGGGCACTCCCACGAGGGTGTTTTGCCTCCAGGAGCCCACCAGGTCCTTATTATGAAAAGCTAAGAAAAATCCATTCTTCTGGGGGTGGGGAGGCATCTTGAAATAAGCACAGAGACTTGTTCTTAACAAAAACCTGTTCTAGGGCCTGGGGATTTAGTTCAGTGGTTCCCCGCCTACCTCACAAGTGCAAGGTCCCGAGTTAGATCCCCAGTACCAAAAAAAAAAAAAGCCTGTTCTGAAGGGGAACTCTTAAGTAGAACCTAACTGATCTGGAAGAGAGGAAATACCTAACTCCAGCCCCCTGTAGCCTCTTAGAGGTGAAGGGAAGTTCGGAAGCCTTATGAAGGTTATAGCCTAGAGGCAATAGGCTCATTAAAACTGTAGGGCGTGGTGCCCCATCCTTGTAATCCTAGCTACTCTGGAGGCTGAAGGACGAGGATCTCAAGGTTGAGGCCAGCCAGTCTGTGCAACTTAGGGAGAACCCTTCTCAAAAGAAAAAGAAAAAAATGACAAGAGTGGTAAGCAATAACAAATCAGTCTCCCCAAGATTCAGAATCCAGACACTGGAAAATAACAACTTGGGGAAGAAAATTGAGGTGGATCCCTAGGACCCAGTAAAGATCTAACAGGAAAATTGGAGTCTCAGAACACAACACAGAAAAAGAAAGGGGTAATCAGCACTTTCTCCCCAGCTCCTGGCCTGTGGCTCACAAGAAAGGAATATGGAATCTACAGAGCCACAGTGAAAGTCTGGGACTCCAGAGGCCTTCAGGGAGAAACAGCACTGGAACAGACCAGTGGGTGCTGTCTGCTGTAACAGCTGGTGCAGGACTGAACAGCCACAGGCTGGCTCCATTTCAGGACTCCTAGCATTACACTCCCACAGTGACTGGACAAGAGACAGCCACAGAAGACATCTGTGGTCAGGGAGCTGTGGTCAAGCTGGCAAGTGACCCGCCATAGGGGTGTTAAGCTCAGCCTGCATCTCAGTGGATGTGAAAGTCCCAGAATTGGTATACACACACACCCCAATTCCTTCTGTCTGCTTGCTGTTGACTGTATCTATCCAGCAAGGTCTCCAACTGCTTTACCTACTAGTAAAAATGTGGCACATCTTGAGTTGGACACTGCTCCAAAACTGTAAACTCCAGAAGAAAACCACACATTGAAATCACAGAGAAAGTTCTTTTTTTTCTTTTGTTTGTTTGTTTGGTTTTTGTTTGGTCAGTTATTTTGTTTTATGAGTTGTTCTTGGTTTTGTTTTGTTTTTTCTTTTTCTCTTCTTTCCTTTTTTCTTCACTAGTTTCCTGGGGTTTGGGAAATCCTCCTTTATCTTTCTGCCTTGCTTATCTCTTTTTCTTTTTTTCTCTATTGTTTTCCTCTTTTCCCTTATACTTTTCTCCCTCTTATTTTTACTCTGTATAATTTGTCTCTCTTTTTCTTTTATCTTCTATTTCTTCCCAGTTTTTTTCTCCTACTTTTACCTAATATCTGTGTATTCTGCAGTAAGATTCTTTGTACCACATCTCTCCCTTCTTCTTCATATCATATAGTTTAAGGTTTCAAAGTTTCCCTCTTTCATTCCCCCATTCCTAAACCCTGTGTCTTTACTAGTACAACCATAAAGCTTTGTTAACCTTTTGATAGTTAACTCTGTAAAATTACTGTTGAATTCTTTTCTGCCATTAGCAGAGATACAGCTGTTGCATTTAGTACATATTAGCTATAAGTCAATACCTGGGTTGCCTTAATGTTTACATCATAATTGTTAATTTCTTCTCTAGAATTAAGGGTGATACATAATGGGTTCTTATGTTAGTATCTAATTTGTCTTGGACAATACTAGCTGATTGACTTCGTATGAATGGGGTCACATAATTATCGCTGTTTCTCTGTAAGTCAACCCTCAGATTGCCTTTGTGACATTAACAATACTAGAGTACATTTCCAGAGAAATTGGCTGCTGCACTAACTACACTGTATCCTCCTCTCCCAAATTAACCAAGGGGGTCAGAATTTGGGGCTGTAGCAAAGGATTATAATTAGCCATGACCAAATTACATCACTAAAAAGCAACTAAAGAGATCTCTATACTAGCAACAAAGTCTCTAGACTGTAAGCATCCACAAACCTGAGCATAAAACCAAACAAACAAAAAGAGTAGGAAAAGCACAAAACTCCCAACTTCCCCGAAGCCAATCCAGGGGAAGATGTTAGCAGCCTAAAAAGGAACTCAGCAGGGGCCGGGGATTTAACTCAGTGGTGCCACTGCCTGCCTTGCAAGTGCAAGATCCCAAGTTCAATCCCCTGTACAAAAAAAAAGGAACTCAGCAGTCTTAGAAAAGATTAAACAGAAGTAATAACAAAAAAGATGGTGGAGCTTTCAGAAGACACTAATAAAAAGATAGATGAGCTAAGCAAAATGATACAAAACATGAATGACCAGTTCACCAAAGAATTAGTAAAAGTCTGTGAAAAATTTTAATCAGGAATCTAGGTTAAAAATTATATTGAAAGTGCTAAGCATGGTGGTGCATGCCTATAATCCCAGCACTCAGGAGGCTGAGGCAGGAGGATCACCCTGAGTTCGAGGCCAACCTGGGCTACATAGTGGGTTCAAGGCCAGCCTGAACTACATAGCAAGACCCTGTCTCAAAAAAAAAAAAAAAATCAAAATAAACAAAAAACCAGAACCAACCAATGTGAGGCCAGAATTTCAGAACTAGAAGACAGTGATGCCTTCAAAGGCCAACTACAGATATTCCTCATTTCATGCCTATTTAATGACTGTTGTGACTTATGACCAAGGCAAGCTGCCTGGATGTAGGACCAGCTGCTCAGACTTATGAGCCTTTTTTTTTTTTTGTATAGTTCGGTACATCCTGTTTATAGAAACTCAGTGTCTGTTTTTTGCACATACATCCTGTTTATACAGTACTGTACTTTCTGCTAATTGTACTGTATAGTATCATA